GGGAGGGCGGGCAGGACTGAGAGCTGGCACAGAACAGCTGTTATAGCACTGCAGCACATTGGTCACAAGTGCTAGAAGAACATGTGCACCGCTGCATAGTGTAACACATCACCCACAGAGTCAGCAGTAAGCTGTCCAGAATTAGTTTTGCCTTCCAATGCACAGCTGTCCTCATGTGTCTGGACCTAGCCATTCCTTAATGGTTCCTGCTTCTTAAGACTGTAAAAGGGAAAGTGCTTTTCATCCACCTGAATTTGTTACCTATTTAAAGGACTGCAACAATGTCACTTCCGGGTTAATCCCTGGAGTAGTTTACAACTTCTCTTTGGAATATAACTGACTTCTTGCATACCTACCAGCTTGTGTTCCATGTCTCGTGGATGGCTACTAAGCACTGGCATCATGCTGGTATCACAAACCCATTGCTAGCAAGTCAGCACAGCACCTAGACAAAGATCCTCCTTACCCCGCAGCAAGAATTCCGCAGCAATGTTTCACTCCTGCCTGGGCCACTCCCTAGGCAGCAAGCAGATCGTTCACTCTTCTGACAGACAAGCCAAAACTCATCTGCACCATAAAAAACCATAGAGCCTCATTCACTTTCCATTTAACATGGAGCTGAGAAGTATGCTCGGTGCCCACACCTCAGCCCCTTCCAGGCCTATGGAGGGAACAACTCAAAAAAAATGTCAGCCAACCAGCATGAGCCTGTTCCATTAGAACTGGGTGACCAGATGCCTTCTCTGTCACCTTGAAAAGAAAATCAAGGCTTGGCAGTCTGTTATTGCAACCTTGTTCCCTTGTCAAGGACACTGAATGCAACATTAGAGGAAAGCGACTTCTGCGTTTTTCAAATTCAGAGACTTCTACAAAACCCCGAGATACATCTGGCCAGGCAAGGGCTCTGCACACTGCCCTTCTGAGCTGTCAGCATGGAGGAGCCAGGGCACCCAAACAGAACAAGCAGCTGCTGCACTGTTGGCAGCATTAGCAGAAAACATCCCTGCTACATTTGAACAATGGAGCAGTGTTTTGAGGGGGAGGACAGCTGTGTCAAAATACATGGCAACGGAGGGGGCAGCTGCCTGTTGTGCATTGCACTGCACAAACTTTAGCTGAGGCAGGGAGGGGAAGTTAGGCAATAAAGAGGTTTTCTAGGTCTTTGCCATTCTAGCCTGTTGCAGGTAGAGTGCCTTGATAGTGTTTGGGGGTAAGAACTTCTTTTTCTGGAAATAAATTTGCAAGCTTTTCCATGGTGTAGAACAAGCTGAGCAGTTGTCCCCATGTCTTTGTGACTCCTCTACCAAAAATGCAGTTTGAAACCATGCACACACACGACTGTGTTAACCAGCTCTATCTGTCATATGCATTAGGATTTAACTGGTTCCTCAGCTATCACTGGGATAAGGAGTTTGTTGGAAGGCAAAGAGAAAACTGATTGCAATCTCTTATTAGAACAGTCTGGATGATGGCTAACTTCAGTATTCTCAGTATTATGAGGTTATTTAATGATGAGTTTGGCATTGGGACTCTGCGGCCACCACCGTATTTAAATGCACTAGCCTTGACAGCTGTGGTCTTATTGTAGAAGTCTCTCTCAGCTTAACTTGCAAAGATTTAGGAGCTGGATCTGTGTCTGCCATATTCCTAAATTTGGTACAAGAACTGTGTTGTGGTAGAATCGTAGAAAATTAGGGTTAGAAGGCATGTCAGGAAGTCTAGTACAACTCCCTGCTCAAAACGGAACCATCCCCAACTAGAACCTTTTCTCCCAGGGCTTTGTTGAGCTGGACCTTCCAAGCCTCCAAGGATGGAGATTTCACCACCTCTCTAGGTAACCCGTCCCACTGTTTCACCACCCTCCGAGTGAGAGCTTTTCCTATCCAACCTAAGCCTCCCTTGCTGCAGCTTAAGACCATTGCTCATTTCTGTCCTCTGTCACCACTGAGAATAGTATAGCTTCAGTAGAAGTCTGCTTCAAACTGACAAATAGCTAGACCTCTTTCTAGGATTGAGGTTTATCTCCCTCACAACTCACCTGGTGTTTCTTGTATTGCACCTCTGGAATACAGAGCCTCTCCCTTCTCCAAGCTGTTTTGTTTTTATATTTTAAAAAATTAAGTCTAGACTTCCTTGCTCCTTCTTGAAGCTGATGAAACATGCTCAAAAACAGAACTGCTGCTGCAGGCAAGTTAAGATCTGTTCCTCCTCCCATCCTAAAGGCTAAAGCAAGGTTTAACCTTTTGGGAGGTGCTTTCAATATCAACAAGGGAAGATCTGCTATTTCTCAAAGGATGAGAAGAGCTCTTTTCATGCTGTGTGGCATTCTGCTATCCAGGAGCAAGAAGCCACACTACATTTGTCTCCCTTGCAAATAGTAAATGGGTCCATAGTAAACCAGTGCCTAGAGGAAGCAATTCCCAAAAAAGTATGTCCTGCCAAGCTTTTATCAATGGAGCTGTATACTGCCCTCTTTTTAAAATTTGGATGCTAACAGAAGGTTCTAACACAGCTGAATACTCAAACAGGATGATGGTTCTGAGCACTGGGGGTGTTTTTATGAAGTTATCTTTCTCTGGAATGACGGGCCAGAAGCCTCTTTGAAATGAGATTACAAAAAGCCAAGCTACAGTCATGAAAGCAAAGGTGGTGGAAGTTATGCAAAGTCTCAAAAAACTTCAGCAACACTCAAACTTCTAGGCCCATTTCAAATCCTGTGACAGGCACCACCCACAGATACAGTATGGGTTGCATCCAGCACTGAAGGTATGTGCTTGCATTTAATTCTATGTTCAAGTGGGCAGCTAGTACTACCTTTCAAAGGACTATCTGAAGGGAAAGGGATGAATTGGGGAGGGGGAGGGCAAGGGACATGCTTATCAGGTCATGGGAAGCAAAGTTTGCCTTTATGAGAGTGGAACAAATCGGTCTATAAGCAGAGTAAGACGCTAAAAACCATTTTTTTTGACAGCCTGCAACTAACCTGAGGAAAGGAAAAGAAGCCCATTTTTGTTTACAGCAATGACTGACCGCATCTCACTTCCCAGCGCTCAGGACATGCTACAGTGATACTTGGCAGACATGGATGGCCATGAGCCTTCAATTCATGTACCCCAGCTGAAGCCAGAGAACTAATGCAACTCCAGCAAGCAACAAGCTCTCTGCTCTACCTGCAGAGGATAACATAAAACAAGTGTCATTGTCCCAGACTGAAAGCTAGGACAAACAGCAGGTTGGGGACTACTATAGTGCAGTGCCTCTGCCAATGTAAATGCTGTTAGAACAGACTCATGGGAGTTCAGTAAGTCTTTGGAACTGAGAAAGAATGACAACTTCTGCAGTGTGAAAACAGCACACCACCAGCCACTTGACTGCAAGTTAAGCGAGACTCTTTGGTGATCAACAGTAAGAGGGAGTTGAAAAGCTCCTGCAGCCCCCAACTTGTTCTTCTATGGCATCAAGCAGTCTAACCCACCACTTCTAGTACAGCTCAGCAGGAGGCTCAATGACTTCAAACTGTCCAGAACTGACAAATCAAGATCAAGTCCCCACATTATTCATTTGAACCCAAGTGTCCTGGGATCTCAGTGGAATTTTATGAATGCTACTTTTGGAGCACGTTCATTCAAGCTGGCACTATGTTCTTCAACTTTGACAAGCAGATTGCTAGGCCTGAACAATCACCTAAAATTTATTTTTTATCCTCAATTTGTATTTCTAGCAAGGTTAAAAAAAGAAGCCCCAAAGCTTAGCTATTTAAGTATTTCCTCTTGCATTATGCATTACAACACCACAATCCATTACTAGATATTAAATGAAGAAGCAACACAAGCAAACATTTACCAGGAGAAAAGGATGGGAGACACTCAATGTAGTAACGAGCAGCAATAAAGATATGCTCTAGCACACAAGCTTTTATTGGCTTGGCTTCTGGTTATTTGTTGCCTTAATTTCCTTTAGTCTAAAAGCAGTTTTTCAAGACTCATTAAAAATCATTCTTGGAGAACGTGGAAAAGGACACTCTTAAAACACTGTGAGGAACTGAGGTGTGCAACTCCTAGTTAAGACTTATTTCCACATTCTCATGCAACCACCTTGTACCAAACCAGCCTTGAAAATACAGCATCAGGCAGTGAAATAGATGCCGAGTCTTCCTCTCCCTACTGAATTCAAATGGCTCCTCTGGTTCTTAGTCTAGAAATAAGGTTTATGACTTCAGTGTCTAAAGTTAAGTCAAGTCAATTCACAGGACAGTTCCAAATATAATACAAAAATAACAGGTTAATATATTTTCACAGCAGCAGTGAGCACTTGAACCAAGATCTCCTTTGTCACAGCAACACTGAAATGTAGTGTGTTGAAGGATACAGCTGCCTGGTCCACAGATTTAGTCCCAATTGTGATTAATAGGAATTCCACAGTAAGCTTCCTGGCTGTCCATGACTGAAAATTTGCTCTTTCAAGAGGTATTAAACACAAGAATGACTATATAACGGAGTCTAATCTAACTTCCAAGAGGTACAGTAAAATATTATAATGCAATGTAATTTAATCATGAAAAACTAAACCAAGGGAAGCCAGTAAAAGGGTGATCTTGCAAGTGTCAAAGAACCACGTGGCAAAGAACCTTAAAATAGAGTTCGGGGTAAATAACTGCCCCATTAAGCCTATGCATATTTACCCTTACATGTAGCAGACTGTAATCATCAAGTTAAGGTACAGTTAGGCACTACTACTTCCTAGTTTAACCATTCAGAAGGCAACAGTCCAGCCCTACTTTCCATGCTCTTTATAATTTAGTGGTCTGAGTACAAACTCAGTTTCCTTTAAATAGGTATGCTACTATGAGGCACAATACTGCAGTGAAGAATGTTTAGCTTGTTAAACATAAAAACAGATTTTAATCTGGGGGGCTCATTGATACTGAAATTTGAGTTTCAAGATTCTAGGGAA